TTATCCGAGAACTTTTAATCTCAAGAATGATTGTTCTTTTCATTATTAACCAAACACTTTGTACATGAACTCAATTCTAATGAGGAAGGAAGATCAGGCGGAACTCTCAGTGATGCATGAAATTCAGCCCAAAAAACGAACCGGAATCAAACCGCGGCCTCCGAGATACGCGACAAGGGCGAGCCCTTTATCAGCTAATAAATAAGATATAACGATGTCCTTATCATCACGTTTCCAGGCGCAAGGTCTCGGTCCGGAGCCACTGGGTAAAGGTCAATGTCAATCATTCTATTAAGTCACCGGTGTCTTCCGAATTTTTTACCTCAACTTGCCGACGACATTGAGCGCCGTTTTGATGTCGCCAAAAAACATTACAGTTGACAATGAGCCTTTAAATTTCTTTATATTCTTTTGTTACGGACTAGTACGCAACGAATCCTACTATAAAAAACAAACAGGTCAGGATTAAATTACGGTAGTCACCGAGATATATCTTATATGGAGAGGGAGTTTTCTGTAAGACTAAAGTATCTCAATATTAATCTTAAAATTTTAAAACATTAAAAAACAAAAAACTACGTAGCACGTGTAGTTCTCTTTTAACAAACGTAGTGAGTAGTGTGACTATATAAGGTGTCCTTAAATAAATTCAGCCATACGATCATACATTACAGTGTTAACATTTACATATATTAAAAGTATTATTTTTGGAACATAAACTGAACGAATTTAAAACTATTATAATTCCGAACTATTAAAATATATTTCATACAAAAAAAAAATAGTGAAGGTGCAAGGCAAGGTTATACCACGTACGAGTTATATTTTTTGTTGCTATAAAAACGAATTTCAAGGTTGAACATTTCCTTGTAGTCAATGAAAATGTTTCATTTATACATGAGAGTGCAATTACAATGAGAGCATGCAATAGATGAATGTAGGGTTGGATATTTAATATTTTAGTATCATATAGGCGTGCATATAGTTCGACGTGCAAGCATTGACTGAGCGCTGAGCGTCGTGTGTCGGCAGGCGGAAGCGTGCGCGCCCGCACCCGCACAAGGCTACGCTCATGACCTCGCGTCGTCTTTGTCTAGCACTATCTAGCGTCTGTTTACCCGCGAGGCCGAATACATAGACCGGCACCACCACACCACCACCGACCACCAACCACTCGCATGCTCCATCATTATTGAAATCGACTTGCTTTTTCCAGAAGCCTTGTAGATTACTCGAACGATAAAAAACAGTGTGAGGCGATATCACACTACATAAAACCTTGCTGACAGACAAAGACTCTTTAAACGACTTCCATGTAGGAGTTTTATAAGTCGCCTGTACTTCTTTAATATATGTTTATCTTAATATATTATTATATCATATATTTACTATATATAATATAAAGAAAACAGAAAGTGGGACGTAATAAGGAACGAGGATCCTCGCGACAATTGCATAGACGACATTGTTGGCTCAATTGAATTTAAATACTATATTTGTCGAATCTTCACAGTTTTCATCTCTCTTTCTCTTCTCAATACATTCTTTGAGTTACTCAATGAGTAATATCTTTATTTAGTTTCAACATGTTAAAAGTTTCAGTTATCCTTGCAAGGTAGAGACGAAGCGATAAAGGCGAGGTTAGGTAATTATTGTGATGGCTCATTGTATTAACTAAGATACGATACAAAATTCTGAACTCTTTTATTTGTAAATTATATTTTCATTTAAAAAAAGTAATGCCGAAGAACATTATTATAACACTATAAACTGTTGTTTAAAAAACTCCATAGACACCTACACAGATTAAATTTATATGAAAGATCAACTGCTTAAAGTCGGTTATAATAAAAACTAATAAGTTATTTAATTTTCAGATAATGTCCAGGGGCCAGTAGTGTTGGCTTGCGCATGATCGCTGAAAGCTGCTACAGCTCGTGAGTATAACAAATATTTCATAAGTCTTAATTAAACGGTCTGGTCTATATAGAACAAACTAGAATTAAAACACAAATAGTTGACATTCTTTAAATATGATAATTACGGCCGCTTAAAAGTGGATCAAAACAGACGCCTGTAAAAAAACGACTGAAACAGGTCCAACGCCAAGAGACATGAGTGAAGTTAATGATACGCAGAGTACTCTGAATGTAGACGACCTTGAGGGACAGAATTCGGGTGAACACATGCAACCTTATATGATAGGGGTGACGGAGATAAATAACATGTACTCTCTTGATAGTTAATGAGGTTAGGCTAATATGGCATTCATGAAATAAATGTCTCTTTGATATGATAGAAAAGAAGCAACCTCACTGTAAAAATAAAAAAAAATAAGATACTATCAAAATTTAATACAAACCTCTATACATGGAGCATTGGAACAGTCTAGAGTATAATAAACTAAAAACAAACAAATTATATATGGATCCAGTATACACGTATATGTTGTATACATAACATAGTAAACTCGTTAGAACGATTCCACCAAAACATCATCAAGGCTCATTATTTTGTTTAAATAAACAATAACACTCGCTCCGATACAGTATCTTATCTCAAACGAGTCCAAATAAAAGCAGACATACGTTCAGGGTTGCGTCGATCAATGATTATCAACTGAAATATTCGATCTGTCAAGGTAAGCGACCAAAACAACTGACGACCGATAAACATACCTACTATATGTATACGAGGAAGTGGCTAGGAGACGGACTGCTGCGTCGTGAGCGACTCGTCCTAGCGGGCCCTTGTTAGTACGCACACACACACACACACACACACAGACAGACACACACACACACACACACACCAATTGAAACGGCAATGAGATAGCTTGTATAGCGTCAAGGTTAAAAGCAATCTAAATTAATATTAATGCAACAGAAAAAAATTGTTTTTAATTCAAACATTATTTATTATGAAATGTAATAATTGATCCGAGACTGTTTTGTAACAGCCACAGCTACTGTGGGAATCGCACCACTCACAAATCTTCCATCGATTGTTATTTAATGCATGCCTTTAAAACTTTAGAGAACGCGCCAGCTGAAGCACTTTGTGAGTTGGAAAAATAGAACAGCTTAACGGGATTTAAAAGAGAATGATTTTTAGTTTTAGGCCATACTTTTTTATTTTTGATTCGATCACAACAGAGATGTTGGGAAGATATCCTAATAATAATGTTTGGAGTCGTATAACGTACCTACATATATTTTGAGGACTATAGCTAATTTCAATTAACATTATAAGACCAAAAACATAATCGAAAGAAAAAATAATCGCACCACTCATTTTAAAATTTGCCTAGACGCCGCAGCGATACATTATTCAAAGCAATAAATCTAAATCCACGAGAGCAATAATCCAAAAATACTAGACAAATGATTTATAAAGGCTCGTAAATATTACCGCGGACGGCTTAAGCTGGAGTTATGAGCATTGTGGGGTACAGCTCGCCATTAGCTGCCGCTGACAGAGCATGGAAGATATGTCTCTTACAGTTAACTTGTCCAGTGGTCACTTGGACATGGAGTCGGGTTCAGGGAAATCGGTCCCTTTATATGGGTCACGCTGTAAATTATGAGACGGACGGCTAAATGGAAAATTATTACAGCCAACTGATTCCGTGGCGTATGGACCTGAAGCCGATTTCTCTAAAGCACAAAATAACAGCGAGTCTGAATTAGAGGCAGTCGGCTTGTTCCCTTTCTCTTTGTTTATCTGTAACAGCAAACTTTCATCGAGCATTCGTATTGTATTGTGGTTGTCCACACTAAATATAATGCAGGCGATACCCAATAAACAACATCATCTAGGAAACTGGACACAATTCAACGAATCACGGTCTAGTAGGAATAAAATACACAAGTATGACAAACGATAAGTGGCACGAACTAAGACGAATAGATACATGTGTTTAAGAGACATTCGGTATGGGTCAGTGATAAGCAAAAGTTTTCCAATTACAGTAATAAACCAAAGTATTGAATAGAACTTTAACTTATTTTTATATGAGAATGTTATTACAATTTTAATCAAAACATACCAATAATATCTAAATCTGTGGTTACAATCTATATTGTTGCTCATTGTAAAGTTATTTATAATATAGTTTACCCAATAAACACAAAATTAAATGTCGTTAACATATGGAATAAGACGTTTATTTTATAATATTATAAAGAGGAGATTACAACCCCATTAATAGAGCGAGCAAGGCTCTTCCTCAGCCCTTTCTAGTGAGTCACTTGGCAAGCGACGATCATTTGTATATAAATATATGATGCCTACTCATCGTAATCATATATTATATATTTATTATACATTTATTTTTTATATAATGACTTCAATAGTTGTTGAACAAATAAAACATAGATAGATATTTTCTTGAAAGTTTGTAATAAAATTAAACTATTACTGTATTTTTGATCATTCATTTTTATTAAACTCTGAAAGGATTTTTTATTAATTTTTCGTCTTATAACTAACTAAAGCCGCCTACAAACGATTATTCACCAAGTATTCGTTGTGTATGAGGCATGAAGGGTCTGGGTTCGTCCACTTGCACATTCGTCTATATCCTAAAGTCATTAGCACACATAGTTTCTATTTCGGCGCAGTCTTCCTCGTTGGAAGCCAGCCAGATACACAAAGGCCCTTTGTAGCCAGAAAATGAGCGCTTCGTCTATTTGGTGGCTTTGTTATGATACCGCTATTGTTGGATCACTTTGAGAATGAAATATTGGTTTATGGACGGGTCGCTGTTGTTTTACAATCAGAAGATACCCTCGCACAGTTAGTGACTTATAGTTTATAGGACTATTCAGAAACAATACACCGTATTGGTATACTTTCATATAATAAGTAAAGTATCTCTGAAAGAGTACTCACATTCAATTAATTAGAAAGAAACTCCCATGTGTTAGACCTATTTAAGGATATAGTCATAAGGTGTAAGATATTGTTTTATATATATTTAATGATCTCCATAACGTTACCTTGATCCTTAACTCCAAGTCGACACAGTCTTTGAGAGCGGCCAGAGGTCCCTGTATACCTTCTATACGAGTGAGAACGTTTTTCACTCGCCTCTCCTTGCGAACCGGTACTGAAACAAACATACACATGAACGTACACATAAAATTTGATGAGATATACATCATTGAGTAACTTAACCAGGAACATTAAGTATTATCATAGGATATTTTAATTAAATTACATAATGTAATGTCCACGTAGGCTTTAATATGTGGTAATGATGGGAACAAAATATAGCTGCTTGTTTGATGTCTTTAATGTTCAAAAAACATGTTACAGTCTGTGTGTGCATAGACACTAAACAATTAATTAAATATTTTTCATAAATCACATGTATCAAAGTTTAGAATATTAAAATTAACTTTATTGTTATGACGTATAGTAATCATTACGGAGTTTAGAAACTGTGCAATGAATGTAATATAACGACCCGAGCTTTTATTAGAACATTATAAGCAATTAATATACGCACTTAGTCCATTTTCTTCTCATATCATTAATAAATTAATAACTGATAGTTTATTTTTCAAACACTATCCTAATTCCAATTTTTTAATTCAATTCTATAATTATATTTTTGACGTCCTTGTTCAGTTTCTTCATATATGAAACGATTTAAATTACAAAGCTTTCCTGGAATCGAGTATCCCAATACACCTGTACAATATCGATTCTTCAATAGTTTTTTTGTAATACACATGACTAACGGTAATCTTACCAAAAATTACATAGAATTGTTTCTTATTTCTTTCAAATTCTTTTACCCTAATAGTATTTGTATGGAAATGTACGTATGTGTTTTAGACTATATTGTTTGTCTTAAATTGATTATTTATTGTAATATTGATACATAATGTGTAGGCATCAACCTTATTTAAAGAAAACCTTCCGAGGTATAACTTCATTTTTAATGTATGTAACAGATATTGTCAAATGTAATGACTGCATCACTCGACACTAGCCGTAGAATCCGTTTCATATAAATTCTCCTCGTTCGTTATTTTCATTATTTCCACAGGTGTTTTTCATTGCTCGAGAGTCGTTGATCTCAGAGCGAATTCATCAACCTTTAGTATACAACGAGTAATAAAATTATTTAAGAGAAACGAAAAAAATATACGAAACTCCGCGATCGGTTCGGGGGACATCAATAATGGAACAATCGTCGACTCGGTCAAAGATCTCATCTCGTACACACCGCGATACTAATATAATATGTATAGTGAGTGGTTGTGATCCGTTCGGTCTGTAATCTGTATACATTAAACAAATAACATGGATGTAATTGTTTCGTCAGACGTAACAGAATAATAAATGTGTTGGACTCTAGTGGAGACTCGGCTCGCGAGCGGTCGCCGGTCGCCGGTCGCTGGTCGCGATTTACTTTCACTGTAGTATCTGCGGGCGCGGGCGGTGACCGGCGGCGCGGGGCTCGAGCTCGGGCGCGGGCTCGGCTCGACGCGGGTCGTCGGCCGGCCGGGAAACGCCACCGCGCCATTCAGAACGCGCCATGTTTACACAGATGCGCGCCGAATGGAGTTGCATCACTTCCGTTTGCGTTCCGTTTCGTACTCGTTACGTAGTAGCACGTGCCCATTTACATGTTTTAATTAATAGATATCAAACAGATCGACATCACGAGCGATAGAACGGAACGTTGGACGCGGACCGCGCCGCCGTTTATATATACGATCCAATACTATTGCTTCATTATATGATATATTTGAGTACGGATTAAAAATAATATACACATAGTACATGGCCTAAGCTATATACTACACTACTAGTAATCGTAAAGGCGGCAAGGAATATTAATTATAATATTTTTCAAACATTCATAAAGTTTCATTGTAAATGCAGTGTATTCCTAACCTACTGGGTCTAATTTAAGGATGGTCATTGGAAGGAACGCAATGCTATCTGCACACACAAATATAGTTCGGATAAGATGGATCTCGTGTGCGCACGCGCAGGCGCGAGGCTCGCCGATGCACGCTACTATTGTTGTATGATGTAATATGTAAATGAGTTCATTCATTTTTAATTACACGCCAGTTATAATGTTTTATCGCTTTTATCCCGACACTATTAAACGTCACATTCTACGGTTTACATACTATAGTGATTCCTTGATATCGAATGGAAAAATCGAGATAATTAAAAATATATTTTTAATAGATTTAAATAAAGAAAAAGAAAAAAAAAACATTACGGTCGTTAAATAAATAGTTATAAATATAAATTTTCATGGTAATGTTGATATGTTCTTGTCAACCACGATCTAATATTAAAACTTATGTTTTATTACGATAAAGTTTCCTATCGAGGGTAAATTCTTCTCTTACACTGTTTTTATTCAAATGTTCACACTGTTCTTACACAGCATATAAAACATTCCAAGGCAGTTAAAATAACAATGGTTAAATAATTATAACAGTGGATAGAGAATTAATGTCACCCTCTCTCATCTTGAAATTTTTCCAATTCATTCTTATATATTTCAATAAGTTTATAAGATCGGCCGATGAAAAACATAAACACGGGTATCAAAACATTAGTAACACGAGCTGTTTATAAAGTAGCCATCTGTATCATAATTAGTCTTCTTCGAAAACGTCGACTCAATTTTAAGTGCATTCCGATTTCAGAATTCATTAAGCTCGAAACGCATTGACGGAAACGAGTTATCCCAAAAAAAATATACATCAAGAAAACGGAGTTCGTGGGTGGGTTTTTTAAAGGACATCGAATATGTGGTGTCAACGACCGATGTTCCCGAGCCGTCCCGCGCGCGTGGAAAGCGGTTATGCAACACGCCGCGCGAAACTCAGGCGAGGTTAAAGCATTGACCATATAGGAGGTTCTCGCGCTCCGATGACCGAGCACACCACGGATTCCTTACAAACTGTCACACGTCGCGTTACAGGCGTATAACGCAACCCGCGTCAGTGAGATCGAGATCATTAAATTAATGACCGTGATAACGATCGACTCGTTTCACAGATAGCTCGCGAGCTCTCAGAGCACGCCAGTCGGTTTCCATTTCAATACGCGGTCGATCTACAACGAGGCGATGTTGCGTTAGAGCCGACGTTCTTTGAGTTTCGTTTCCTTATCGCTCGCCATGGATTTCATTGTAATTAAACATTTGATACAATCGAAAGCCTCAAATGAGTCTCGGTTGCATAAAATCCATCCAACACACGGCCAGCTGCGCGTTCCTTACAGTCGCCGTTCAACTTTCAAACTCCGTTTTCGTCAAATGAATGGTCGAAATATATATGAGAACTAATAACAATTTATCCATCTGTCTTCTATCTCAACAAACTCGAGCACGGTATTACTGAGTGTATTTTAAATAAAACTCTTATCTATTATAATTGTTCGATAAACAGTGTAGTAGGCAAGGCCGCGTGCGGGTCACGGGCGCCATGCAAATAGCTGACGCTATTGTTAATATGATACGTCACCCCGACTGAACCGCTTGCTGGATACTGGGCACTCTTATAACATCTGAACTGCACTCTTTAATACAATAACTTTAACAACACTAGAGCTCAGGCTATCGAAAATCTTTTCATAGGCACTACTTTTTATTATTTGAATCAAATCAATGACTTTGTCTTCAACTTCTCTTCATCTTATTTCGTCTTCTATACATACGAGAGCTATTAAAATTACGAACTTATTAGTCAAAGGAGCCGTAATAAAATAGATCATTTGATGTCAAACTAGATTTTGTAATGTTAACCAGCTATTTATATAAATAAAACGTAATAGCATACTTAGTATATGTGGTATTTCATTGACTTGCAAATAATTTGATTGCAATCTATTAGTGTGAATTAAAAAAGTTCTTACTTATGGACATGACAATTTTAAACCGATGTAAAGACTCGCTACAGCAGTCACAACTGCATCTTGCCCGCAGACTCCATGATTCATGGTTAAATATATATAATAGTCTGGACCGCGGCTAGTGAGAATTGTCTGCATAGCTTAACTAACTCAACATAAAATTTCCACACATCAAGCAATACATGTACTAATAGTTATTTTCTTGAACCAAAAAAAACGAGACTTGTTTATTACGCTAACACACGTAAAGTAGTGATCATTGAGAGAATGCCTTACATCATTTTGGAAAAGAACTTATGTCTAATACTCATATACTGTAGGTCAGATGTTCACCAAAAATTGCTAAAACCAATATCAGCGAAACTAGTTAATCCATTTGAGAGATGGGATATAACAAACAGACAGACATCGACGATAAACTTATAAAATTCTTTTTGAGTTGAAGGCTGAGGAGAAGCACGGAGATAAAACGCTAATGTGAATTTGAAACGTTTCAAATGATAAAAGATGACTTTATGGCAATGCTGAGTATGATTTGTTCAAACCAAGTTTCTAATAAGATGAACTAATACGTAATTTATTCAGACAATTATATTAAACAAATGTTATAGGTTTTGTTAAAGAAATATAACATACTTTCATATGGAGTTCGTTCTCCAGCGTCATGTTTTACGACTTCATCTCAACTTAAAAATTTCCAAGTGACTAAAATGAAATTTAAGTCTCACAAAAAATGTCAACGATGATCAAAATTTGCTCATAAAAAAGTTTTTATGTCCAATTGAACATCAATCTCTCAGTCAGAAGTCAGACGAACACAAGGGAGCATTTAACGCGCGATTTAAAGTTGAAACCACTCTACACTTGTTGAGAATTATTAGCGAACTTAAAACTGGAGCATACCAGTGGCTGGTGTAAACAAGAGACGTAATATATTGAATAAAACTAAAGGATTTCAATACGTTAACTGTAAACCCGTCAACGGAACGTTCAACAAGATACAGCTCCGCGACTCATTACACACGACACCAGAGTTCACACAACATTTACTATGTATGTAGTTCAGCACCAGGAGGGTACATATGAAATCATCAAAACAGAGTACCGTTCCTCCGAGATATAGAAGGCGTGTCGAACTCTGGACATCCGCAACGTTTTATTACACGAACTCTAAATAAAACGCCAAAAGCTATTTGTGGAACCCGATTGAGAATATACAATGCGTTCCCGAATTATAGCACGTGGAGGAGCACAGGCGCGAGGGGAACGACCGTAGGTGACACAGAGCGTTGAACGGCCTAGCGTGACCTCGTGCGTGACCCCGCCTGACCACGTGGGAAAGGGTTGATCGGATCCTAACTGTGCACACTCTAATACATGCGCTACTACAGCTCATTAACGGGGAGGAGTTTTTATTGCAAATGAACGCGGACAGAACCGGCGGCGTGAGCTAGTATGGTCAGTTACGGCGAGGTGTACACTGAGTGGTATTATAGGCCGGTAATAAAACTGGCTTCAGTATTGCATTTCCAGAATAAGATTATTATTAAACTATTAGCATGCACCAGCTTTACATTCTTATTGACGGCAAATTAACTTAAAGCATGTGTTATGAACTATTGGAATGTAGTTCAGTAATTTCTATAGAGAAATAAGAGCAACTTTATCAAAACTTGCAAGTAGATTAAGAAAAATATACAACTAAATTTATTAAATGGCGTAAATCAAATATGATTAATGTTTATTTGGTAATTTTATAACTTTTATTTATCAGTAAAGTATGTTTTCAGAAGGAAGTCCTCTTAATTATTTGTTAATTATCAGAAATAATATGGTAAATTGATGATCTCAGAATGAGAGCCGGCTCTAATGATCTGAATTGTTGAAATAATTCTATGATAAATGAAGTAAATATAATAACTAAGAATGAATTACATTAAGGTTTCATTACAACAAAGAAAGGAAACTAATCATGGAACCTTGTAACTTATAATTGACTCGATTCCAACAAGTAATTGATAACTGAGTTTTAAATGACGACAAGACAAAGCCTCTCAGCATTTCATATATTCACAGTGTGTGTGTCGGGTCCATCGTTGTAGTGAGAGCAGCTTCAACAACGACTGGGACTTGCGACCCAGGTGTAGGTTTAAGGGATACCTTTCTAACGCGCGTTAAATACTCACCTGCACTGTTGAAGCTCCTTTCCCTACTTAACCAAATTTCAAATGAACCTAAAAGGCATACCTGTGATGCACATTCTAAAAATGAACTGTTATTTCTGGAAACTTATATACACAATAAAAACTTGGACTTTTATACAACATTACTTGTAAAAGAAAAATAAATTATTGTTTGTATACTAGAATTATATATTAGTAGATATATTGTTACTTTGCATTGTTTTTCAATTATTATTATAAAAGCTTACACAGTAGCCTATAAATATAAACTCATTTCACATCGACTCAAAGACAATCTATTCATCAGTCTCTGGAACAGCTGAAATACTTTTGGGTCTCAGATGTATTTGTATAATAAATGATAATATTCTTGCTTATTATTTGCAGGAAATGGTAAAAAGTTCAATAATTTCAAATTAAAGGTTATGATTAAGGGACTAAAGATTTCTTCAGTTTGGTTTCCGGGATTCATATTAAAGGAGAACAAAATATTTAAGTCATAGTAATCAGTAAATTAGGAGTTCAAACAATATCTTCACATAGTTACTTACAAAGCTATAGTATAGAAATATAGTATATAATAGGTAAATTCAGCCCGTTCACAATACTTATAATGTCAAAGTTTCTGATATTGATGTAACATTAGTATGTTAAAGGAATATATGCAGATCATAAAAAAACTATAAGAAAATCCATCTAAACATAAAAATAGCCACAGAAGTTATTGATTTAATACAATAAATGTTACAATTCTTTAAACCTATCATAAAACATAACCTCCAAACGTACCTTCATATTGAGCAAAGCGCTGTTTGTTCTTTTCTTCAAGTAATCGTTGCTGTTCCTGCTTTTTTCGTTCCTTCTCTTCTTCTCGCTGTTGTACGAGTTTATTTTGACCCACTGGTATAATAGCAGAACTCTGCGAATCATTGTATTTCAAAGCGGCCTCGTATTGAACTAAATTCTCGTACATCGGCGCCTTTTTATTTGGCAACTTGGGTTTTTCTGAATAAAGTGCCTTTAGGGGATCATATTTGGAACTACAAGCACTGGTTTCCGACTCAGATGAAGATCCTTCAGACATTTTCTACTTTTATAAACAACAAACCAAAATATGTACGTAATAGTAAACATTTAGACTGACAGCTCGTTGACAGTTGTCAAATATCATACTGACAGGCGAGTAGCGTTTGGTTTTTGTTCTGTTGCTATTCATTTGAAAGAATTAACGTTAAGAAATTTATTTTTTATATTTTATAGCACAGTATAAAAACAAAGACCAACAGATAGGAGCGTTATTGTTTAATATAAAGTAGTTAACTCGTTTTTCCGACATTTATTGATTTATTTAGTAGTTTATCATTAAACCTGGTTGTATTTTATAGTGATTATAGTTTTAAATAATGCATCTGAACAAACAAGAAATAAATCAAAATGTTCATAGGTTGTTTAAGTTGAAACATGTTTTTTATACAGACATTGCAGTCATAGCGATCTCGTGATAGAATGTTGAAGGCTCTTCCTAACTCTAATAGTATATATAATTACAGACATTATGAAAGCTGCACACTTGAATAATATTTATTTTACTTAGTTTTATACAATTATGTTGTTAATTTATATATTTAATTATTTTTAAATGAGAAGCTGTCACTCGTGAAGTGGAAAATTGGATAATCAAAAAACAAAACAAAATTTAAAAAATAATTTGAATGTATTCACTAATCATATATTTGTCAAAAGCAGATGGCGCTGTCAGCTGTGTTATATCTGTACACATTTGACATTGTTGAATATAAATATTTTTATTTAGTTATAATTGTAATAAATTAAATATTATCTTGACATGTCGAACTCATTGCCAATGTAGCGATAGTGTACAACAAGGTCTTCATAGTAGTGTAGTATGCAGTAGGAAGTAACCACTCAAGGTTAACTAGACTCTATCTAATGCGTGAGCCGCGAGGGAAAAACATTATGAAATAACAAAATTAATTTATATAGAAAGGAACATTTTTAAAATCATACATGCCTTTAGCTTACTGCTTAATTTACTCGGCTGAAAGACTAACTATTTCTCGCAAGTACCTATATCAGATCACTTGTTAAATGTTAGAATAAAAAAAAATTAATATAAATGTAATAACTATACTTACAACAATGAAGTAGAAAAAGCAATCCAATAATTTTGAGAACCCTTCTGATGTTTGTATTTGCTATTCAAACTTTTTGAATATCATTGAAAGATTTTTTTTATTATTTCTGCAGGCTGTATGCCTTAGCCTAGCAAAATATTTCTATTTTACAATATGTGGATTGGTCTTTAATGATGTAATTGAGTTAACTAGGTTCAAATATGCGACAGTAATTTCAAGAATGCATTCTAGCTGTTTGAAAATACTCATGAGTCAGTCTCAGAAGTTTGGACTGCACTACGTCCTCACACATTTCCCAGCATCTTACGTTTACTACATAACTCATTAGAGAATTCTTGTAAACGGCACACATTTACTTTTTTCTGATCGTTATACCTTTTTATCGAATTGAAGAAGTTTTTAATGTTATGGCTTTTCATCAACATGAACAAGATAAATAGGATTAAAAATATTTTTTTCTCTATGATTTGTGAGAACTTTTTAGTTTTTTATACTACATATTTTATTAATTTATTGTATACAAAACTTTCTTTTATTCTTATAATATGTATTAATCATATAATCATCTTCATGATCGCGGGAGATATATTATAAAATGATTCAAATGAGTTCGATACAACGTAACGTTATGTAACCCGGTCCGCGCGCCGCACGCCGCACGCCGCGAGCCGCGCTCGTTGCCATGACAACCAGCAATGGCGGCGACTGGCGAGTCAACGTCCCAGTCACGCCATCTCACATAAACAGCGGCTTCATTTCACTTTTCAAGTTTTCTCCTACGTAACAGCGCTCTAACAGTATTATAATTAAAAATTCATACGAATAATGTAAATTTTTCTCTTACCGTGAAATCGATCGATTGCGCAATTAACTTTCCCGTTTGAATGCGTTTCGGCGATCATTCTAATTTTAAGTAACAGTCTATCACAGATGATCTCGCTATGAATTTTAATTTATACAATTAAAGAGTTTGTTTCTGTATTTTAAACATAAAATACTGGCGTCTTAGATAATGTAACATGAATGTATATACTAAGTATGAAATACAGACAAACAGAACACTAAATACCTACATAATATGGTGTTTAAAACTCATTAGACTTTATATCATTTATTTATTTATATTTAGTTAATTACAAAAAGAGTGCGTATTAAACATGGTTTTACATTTAAAGGTGTTAACATAAACTCATTCAAGTTTTTCCGAACACCAGTGTCGTCAATTTTACATTTTACACTTATATAACTAATGCATAACACTAGAATAACTAAAGAAACAAACAAAACAAATAAGATAAAATAAAATAAAAATATTCGATACAATTAAATACAAAAGAAAAAAAGAATACATAATAATTTATACATAAATTACTAATACTACATAATATTTTATTTGTACAGAAAAATATTAACGAGGGTATATCTTGCACTTTAAAGATTACCCGATTATAGTTTAATATTACTACCGTCGCGTCTCGTAACATAAACAAATACGCTGTTATACAGGCTGATATCTGTTGTAGACTTTATTATTTATTTATTAGTGTAGTTATTTTTAGGTAATTTTATTGCCTTATTGAAATATAAAGTAACTATATATTAATATTGTGTGTGTTGTATATAAGTGTGACTGTGTGTTTTACTTAATTTGATATAAAGACTTGTCAGTGATGTAATAATTACACAGAACTGACAGCAGCGTGCCATTAATTGGACAATGTAGACGAAAGTGAGTAGGAAGTATGAAACAAAAGTATTAACAGAAGCCTACAATTACAGTGAGAGTATTTTTCCATTGTCGACTTTTTGCCATATTGTTTGAAGTCATTTTCTCCATCAGCCTCCTCATCTTCCGTCGATTGTTGTATTAATTGTTAGTTCTTGCTGCGTGCGTTTACAAAAATAGGAATATGAAATTAGATAGAAATGTTTTTAATGGCGTTCGACATCTGAGGTGTGATTTACATTCAATATTAGATTTGGTCGAGTTTGATGAAAGTACACTGACCGTCCAACGAAAGATATGAATCGTTTTAAGAGTGAAAGTTACCTTGTTAGTGTTAGCCCTTTGTTATGTATTCCGTAGTTGTCGCCTGTAGTGACATCTAGTGTGTGTTTCAGAGCGGTGAGTGTTGAGCACGAGGGTGCGGCGCTGCCTCTATGCCGCATCAGCGCAGGTTCGACATACATCGGGACGTCGCCAGGTGACCTCGACTAACACTACACTACACACCACCCGATATTACTGTTCACACCATCTCTGTACATAAACATTATCATCATCATAGGTTACAAGTTGTTGAGAATCTTTGTCAAATAAGAAAGTTACCAGAAACAATATTAGTCTAGTATAAGGTCCGAGAGTCTCTTATTGTTCACGAGAGCTGCATCACAGCCATCAGTTAGGATGACATGTTGAAATGCGTGAGAGCCTACTGTTTGTTTATCCGCAGGTCGTTGTTGAAGAGGAGCGCGGTGCGGGGCGTGAGGTAACCTGGCCCGGGATACCACCATACCATGTGTTCCATGTTCCCTGTTCTACAGACCTGATACATCGAATAATGTATGATCCGTCCGGACACGGCCAAACCCTTACGAATTTATTAGTGTTATAGTAGTGTGTGTGTCGAGTGCAAGGTGGCGGGGACGCATGCCTCGGCGCCATTGGCGATGCCATTTATTGAAGACGAGTGGTGGTCCGCCGGGAACGAGGGCAGGATGGTCGATCTCTCCAATTGCCTTCAGGTCAGTCGCCCCGCTCTGATCTAAAGAACCGATGATACAGACACGTTAAAGGATTGTACGACTAGCGCCACCTAGTATCGATATAGAGGAACCCGCTCGTTGCTTCCAGGACGCGGTGACCGCGAGCGGCCAGACGGCGACCCAGCTGCAGCTGCAGATGGCCACGTCCCTGGGGGAGCTGTCCCAGGCCGAGCTGTCCAACTTCGTGGGCGGCCTCACGCTGGAGGCGGACGGCTCGGAGGCCGCCGACCCCGACGACATCCTCAAACAACTGGGGGAGACGGCCTTCGACAACTTCGACACCTTCTTCACCGATCTGACCAACTCCACGGCGACCTCCGCGCCCCCTGTGGAAATAAAGGTACTGCTCATTAGTATAGATACCGCGACAGTTTTATTATACTTTATTGTAATATACGTAGTATTGGAAAAACTCACAAATGCTGGAATAGTCCGTTAGACTTAAGCTGAGCTTTGCATTTGCGTGAGAGAAAGTAAAAGTAGAATTAGATAAAAAACTTTTGGAATTCAATTTTATTATATTTTAAATAGATACATAACATAAGTGCTAGATCTATTCTACATTAAAAATAAAATAAGCAAAAATTTTAAAATGTCAAATGGAAATATTAAGGAAAAAAAAATTAAGTAATAAATTATAAAGTATAAATTTTGAAAAAACAATACAATTTTTTTTTCACTTGATATTGCGTTTTCAACATTTGAAGTTGCTATCAGTACACGGGGTGAAGTGAGGAAGGTGCGGGGCGAAGTAAAAGCAGAATAAACTGGTTCCAAACTAGAAAAGAACGTGGCATTCAACAATTTTACATCACACCTACACTATCCGTGTGCAGTCACACAAATGCAAAGCTCAGCTTAAATCAAAAGCACTATAGCTGGCTAAGGCTAGATTAATATACATATATTATGTATATTTACAAATATAAAATCTCCTTACAGACACGATTTTATTTTTTGAATGATTTAAAATTTTAAGTCAAGAAGAACTGTAACAATTGCAAGGATAATGAGAATATTTATATTTTAAGTTTGACTCCTCGATCCATTCAAACCGAAATTTTGTCTGCAATTCCAGCAGGAAGAGAACAACAATGTGTCGTCTGCGTCCAGCAGCCAGTTACAGAACTCATATTACCAGCAGAGCAGCCAGCTCTCGCTACCCAACAACGGTCAACAGAGACTACAGCAGTTACTGAGATCAGGGACCAGCGCCATCAACCACGCGGTGGCCAATAATATTAACAACGGACGATACAATATCGCCTCCGCCAACCCACTGCTGGCGGAGAAGCTGGCGGCGACATCTAGCGGCATCAAGCAGGAACCGATGAGCTCCGACTACAACGGAACCGGCATGAACTACGGGAACGCCTCGCCGATGCAGCGGGTGCCCAGTGGGAAGCCTCAGGTTCACGATGCTGGCGGAGGAAAAGGTAGGGATTTCATTGTAGTTTGTTTTAATTATTTACAGCGCCACCTATTGTCTAGTAGCAAAACGTAACATAACAGAAACTTTTGTTTCTATTACTATTATAGATGTCACTAGCTAGGAAACGCGTAAGTTTCAGTACTGTAATAATAGATGGCGCTCACAGTAACGTCACAGATGCACCCGCTATCAATGCACCGGTTGCTCATATATACGATGCAGTTTTCTCTTGACCACAATCCACTTTCAATTTCCGCTTGAGGAAGTGCGATTTTCCTTTCTGATTCCACGGCTTTTACCGAACGATCAGCCGCCGGCTACTAGAAAGCTAATCATAAAATTATAACTTACGATACAGTATACAGTACTCGGACGCATTAAACTACCCACGTTTTATTATGTAGTATTAACGTCGCATTATTAGAATTTATTCCTAGTTTTCTTTAAGCCATAAATCCGTCTTATTTGAAGCTACAAGTGAAGGATATAACTATTGATTTTCATTAGGTACATTCTATTAAAACAGGCCGTCGATATAAATCGTTCCCTAATCTTTTTTATATATTAATATAATAAATAACTCTTCATAGTATATGTTGTAGTGTACGAGTGGCGCCCCCACGCGACCGGAAGTGAAAGCTCAATAAACATGACAGGCTGTATTAAGTCGGCAGCTTTCTCTAATAGCTACTTATCTCTATACAACCTCTCCGTATAATACGTTTTTGATATCTTTTCGCAAGCTTCTTGATAAATTCACAATTTATTATTTGTACCAACGTTATGTACTGATAATGCTTAAAAAATATTTGATTCTTTAATTAATTTTGATAAATCGTTTAATGTCCTTTTCATTTTAATATATTTCTTTATAAAGTTTCAACTATTCCATATTACTTTTTAAATAGTCCGTTACGTTAATTGGTTTTTCATAAGGACTCGTCTCCACTTTATATTTTTTGGTCGTCACTTCTCCCGTTCGGTCTCCCAGGTCCCTAGAGGCCCGAGGAGCGACTACAGACACTAAGTGATAGAAACGTTTAACAAAAAACTAATGTTACTGTTAAGTGGAATTCTAATAGCGTATGATTCAACGTGGCATACTTCATATATCAATAGGAAAATCCGTGGCGTTTGAATGTTTCTTCCTAGAAGGGTTGCGCGAAATCTATATAGTACAGTGTGTCAAGGTAGCTCGGAGTCACGCGGCCTCGCTACTAGTACGGACACCACTTTGTACAAGTATTTTGAAAGGTCCTTCGATATATACTACTGTATAAAGCGAAGTGTTCACATATATTCTATGTAAGCTTAGTACACATATTGTTGTAAGTGTAACAGGAAACAGGCGTATATGTAGTGTTGTTGACGCGCTCTCAGACGTAATACACTCCTTATTGATGCTGTGGTTAAACATTTTTATTATAATTGTCCTGCTTCATCATTATATATACAAACAAACAAATTGTATTGTTATATATATTTCATTAAATAATCAAATGAGTACGTTTAGGAGGTGAACGGTTCCTCACGTGTAGTGTCATAACATTGTTTTATTAAATAAACAGTTACATTTGAAATACAAATAAATGTAATAAATGTAAACATTCATATATGAAATTTAATTTACTATTTCAATAGAATTATGAAGTTATTTCATTTATAAGTATACCTATATTTTTCGTCATTCATACGTAAGTCACGAATAAAAGTTAAATATCATATATAAAGAGCCCATGTTTGTACTATAATATAGATGAAAAGTTTTTATGTTGAACAATGGACAGTCTAAACCGCAGATACAATACATCACCCATACAGTGGTAGTTGGTACACAACACACTCACAATAACAGTACCTACTTATTTTGAACGTGGTTATTCATATAATATATCAACATTACTATTTTCTTGTTACTTTACAACTAATATTAATTTGTTTGTTTGTCCTCTTTGTTATGTCATGGTGTGTCGTGTTAATGTGTTCAACATCAAAGATGACTTGTATTTTAACCACTGTGACCACTCTGGTTATTCTGATGCTAAATTATTAATATTACATCATTTATTTTTATTATTATACATTGGACTCAGAGAGAAATATGTCGATGTAGTAAATCAATAGACATGTTAGAAAAAATGTAGCGACATCAGTACTGTATCGCCGTGATCACGAAAACTATTGGAAATTACGAAATAAAACAAAGCTATATCTTAATCGAATATCTAAGCTACATTTTTATAAAATTTCATCAAAATCCGTTCAGCGGTTTTTGCGTGAAAAGGTAACAAACATCCATACGTCCTCCCAATTTTTTGTATTCATAATATAAAATAAATATGTTACTTTGATTTCAAAATTGAAAAGACATCATTATTTAATATTATATCAAGACTTTGATCTAAATTAAATCGTTCGTTATTTAATTTTCGTTACGTTGATATATATTTGTAGGAAAAGAAATTGTCAAGACGAAAAATTAATCTTGAATCTTCTATATATATAAAAATGGATTGCTGTTCCTTAGTCTCGCTAAAACTCGAGAACGGCTGAAACGATTTGGCTAATTTTAGTCTTGAAATACTCCTGGAAGTCCAGGGAAGGTTTAAAAGGTGAGAAAAATTGGAATAATTGTCGGGAAAACCCTAAAAACAGCCCTTTTCTATTTCCCATACAAACGTTTTTTTTGACATTAGATTTGACTATTAACTAATATGTCAATCATTCTGTTTGATTGAAACAGGAAAAACCTGATTATTTATGGCCTCTAAGACGGAATAGAGTTTGCCTGGTCAGCTTCTTCTTCTACCTGGCAATTTCCTAGCTATAGCCAGGGTCTGCCTTACATGTTTGTGAATAGTTTTGGCTATTTGTTTTTACGACCGGCCGCCTGCCTGACATCAACCCTCTCTTTGGGAATCAACATTAATCAGTGATGTCTAAATACTCTTAGAAAGTACATATGACTCGGAAAAATCACATTGGTACTTGCCCGGGCCAGGATCGAACCCGCGCCCTCGGCAACGAGAGGCGGGCCCTTTAACCACTAGGCCACCACTGCCTGGTCAGCTATACCTATATATATTACTCTTGACCAAACTAACGCGGACGAAGTCGCGGGCAAAAACTAGTACGTAATAAAAGGTAGGTTCAGTTATTCAATACTCATTTAAATGAAAATCCTGACGTTTCGGCTACTTCACTTTAGTATGTAGTTTATAGTCGAAAATAAAAAAAACGCGCAGTAAATCCGAAAATATTAGTTTCATTTATTTAATATAATTTTATTATTTAATGTATAATGTTATCACGGTCACCATGTTAATTATATTTCCTTTATTCATTCATTTATCTTCGAACGTCATATGTTAACGTGGGTTTTTTGCAAATTAAACAAATAACAATGCGAAAATCTCCTCTTCTAAGTGACGATGTCAAAGCCATTAGAACTAACAGCCACCGTTGGGGACTTGCGTTAAGCGCGAATACTAAAGTTTAAATAGTTTGGACTATCATTCGTATCGTAAACACACAGAGTAGGTGACAGCTCAATGGATAGTCACCGTGATTATTGAAGTTAAAAGTTGGTCTATGTTGGGGCGCATCCGTAATATTGTGCACGCCGTCTGTGCCTGTGTGTGTCTGTGCGCCTGTGCCTGTGTGTGTCCGTCTGTGCCGGTGTGTGTCCGCCTGTGCCTGTGTGTGCTCGAGCCGTGACCCCGTTTCGAGTGTATCGTAACGTGCGTTATGTCACACCAGATGAAACGTGCGTTCGTGATGAGACTGGACCACGACCTGGAGTGTGCTCTACATGTTATATTTTACAAAAAAGTTTACTTTAAAACGATTTTTATATTTGGATGAAAAATATATATTATGAGAGTTATAATTTAAACCGAGCCTTTTCAATATATGTTAATTTCTAACAAATGTCATAATGTCTGCATTATTTATTTCAAAATGTTATAATGATTCACTATACAACTTTAATAACTCAACTTATTATTTTTTATATCATACTGTATATCTTAATATAATGTGAATGTAGGTAGAGCACACATCAGTCGTGTTCTCGTTTAGTATCCGCACGCCGCACTCCACTCGCTTTCAGTGTTACAGATTGCACTCGCCGCTAGGACTGTGTACACACACAGAAACACACACACACACACACCCATGTACACAGACACACACACGTCGTAAATAAAAAGAAATATAAATTAGCACATTGTTCTGATCTGTAACACACAGAACACATACCAAAACAGGCTTTCTGTGTTCGTATGTTAAAAGTGTTACATTACCATCCTTACAAGAGAATTCTCTCCATACTCTAAAACTAAATTTGAGCCTGAACAAGTCTTAATATTTAAATAGAACCATATCTAATCCTCCTACTGTATCTTACCTCTGAATACATTTCGTCAAGCCACGCGATTATTGTTAATACAAATATTCGTTCAATGCTAATGTGACATCAAACGTATTGTAACTGACCTTACACAACCCGGCCGACACTCGTCCTCACATCAGTCATAATACACACGAATACCAACCGTATGTACTGTACATATAAAATGCGATTTTCTTTAACTTATTTCGTTGTTGCCAACTGTTCGCTGACTGTACGTACAGTAATTCATACAATTAAGCTGAACTGCACCTTATCTCCTAGTCTTACGTGTCATATTAGTTCGTCGGTCACGTCTGTTATATCTGATGTTTGTTTGTCCGTTATCAATAACGTGTATGTTTGTCTTTGAAGTGCAACGATCCTCACACAAAAAAACATTGGCGGCTTCGCGATAACACTGTGTTGAGTGTTGTACTCACCTCACTGACACACGATTATACTGAACAATATCTGTCTCCTTAAATATATGTCTAATCTAATGTTCAAATAATCTAGAATTATCTACTAGATACATTTGTCTACTGAATGCTCTATCAGCGATTCATTATATACTAATTTAATTATTATTTCTGTATATAAATGTTTCAGTATATAGGTCGAATTAATGCCTAGAGCTGTGATAAAATCTCTCGCATTATTTATGAAATACAAATAATAT